TGGCATCCAATATTGTTATTATTTATATATGTATTTCTATTTCTTTCTTCCCTCCTTGCAGTATTGAAGGAGACTCACAACATGAAGTCAAAACTACAGATTTTAAAAACACAACACCTTACAGTATTAAAACAGTATTAAACAGATTATCACATGTAAACAAACACTCAGTTAATACAAATCAAGGGCATTTTAAAATAACAACAAAAAGAAGAACAACCACGTTCCTGGTCAGGATACAGCTTCTGAAAGGTTTATGTGTATGTATGTGTGTGGAGGTAGCCTAGCCTTTGAAAGAGAGCCTGGGGGGAGCCACAAGTTTTCTGGGGTCTTTACCAGATGTCCCTGTGAGGGTGGTGGTCAAAGGCAAAAGACCAGCCCTGAAGATCCTAGGGCATGGATAGGCCCATATATATATATATAACTAAATTTGTTTATTATTTATTAACTACTTATTTAAAATATTTTACCTCACATTTCTCCTTAAAAAGACCTAAGGTGGCTTCCAAAAATTAAAAGGCAATATTTAAGAGCTAAAAACAGCAAATATGCAAATAATTAAAAAAGAATTAAACAAGTGTTCTATTTAAAAGGTCAATAAAATCACTACTGAAAACACATTTATAAACAACAGAGCACAAAACTCCATTTAAAGAAAGTCCTTTAGCTACCCTGGACCCAAGCAGTATTGTTGCTTTTACATATCTGTTATATAAGATTAGCTAGCTGGATAGCTCAGTGAGTTAGGTATCTGGCTGCAGAGCCAAAGGGTGGGAGTTTGATTCTCCGCTGTGCTTCCTAGGAGTAGAGCCAGCCTGTGTAGCCTTGGACAAGCTGCACAGTCCCAGAATGTTCCCACAAAAAGGGGAATGGTACACCACTTCTGAGAACCCTCTACCTAGAAAATCCTGAAAAGCGTCATCATAAGTCAGAATTGACTTGATGGCACAGGATTCCAGTTCTAAGATGATGACATAAGGACACAACTCTGAGCCACTCAAAGCAGGTGAGCAGTAACACTCTCTGCATCAGTGGAACTGTCTAAATCCTGTTCCAGAGCAGTCCCACATAAAATGCGCTAGGGTAGCATGTTATTGTTTTATAAAAACTTGGCCTTTGACTAGAAGGATATAGACTGAATCCTTCTGCAGCCGGGATGCCTACACAGTCCTGCTGCTAGCTTCTCACACAAGCGACTTCACTACTTAAGGAGTGCTTTTAGATTCATCACTCAAAACTGCCCTTTAGATGCATAGCTCTGTGGAGAGAGAGTCATGCTGGCAAAATGCTTATACTTATCTACAAGGAATATCTGGCAGATGCGTCACTTGCATACCAGTGACGCGAGTATATCAATTGCTCAGAGACTATCTTCCCCAACAGCTGAAAAGTTAGAAACTGGCACACACATTGTTGAAGAAACACTAATTAGGCAACTCCGAAAATATGACACAATAATGTCTCGAAAGCTGAAATGCACAACATGGTATTTAGCTCCTAACAACCTCCAGCCCTCAGACACAAAGCAAGACAAGCCATACGTGAGTGCTGCACTGAAAGAGCTCCAGAACAGCCATGGATTGTAGGAGAAGACATTTCCCATGGCAGGCAGGAATGCAAGTTTGAAAATGTGACAAGCCACACATACGAATGGCATTAGCAATTTACCTGTCACTTTAGCAATCTTGGAGGTGGGAGAGAAAGCTCTAATGCAGCAGTATACTAATGCTTGCAGAATGCGAGTTGTACTAGTATAGATGTATATGTTAGGTGAATTATACACATTTGTGTCATTGGGAGCTTATAAAAACCATGTTTGTTGTAAAATCACACAGGGCTATTTCGAGATGTTTTGCTGCCTAAGACAAAGGTTGAGATGCCACATCCCCATCTACATAACAGAAAGTGATAGGAGCAGCATTGAATCTTAGAACAATGCTAGCCATTGGATACCATCTGCCACATTGACATTTGCCCAGTGCACTAACTTTCTGGACCCAGAAGAGGCTGTAGGGTGTACATCACTCTGTGCTTCAAGGAAAGGAACAACTAAAGAGTTCATGGGAACAGCCATGAGGACTACTAACTTCTATCATCTTGTAATCAAGGTTGCCTTCTTTTGCACAATTGTAGGGCTGTCCCAGCAATCACCCTTCCTCACTTACTGAATCTTACATGGGTTCTGAACAAACGTGCTTTCCATCTGAAAGCCTTGTGATTTCCCACTGCATCTTTTTCCTTGCACACATGCATGCACAAACAGAGAGGGGAGGGAGAGGGAAGGAGGGAGAGATGAGTTAGAGAGGAAAGACAGCGTAGCTACATTTTGAAAAGAAATGAGGAACACTGGGAACCAATCACCTGAAGGCACCCACTATTTCGTATTCATTTTGTTATCTGCAGAACAGGAAAAGTGCCACTTACAAGCGTGCTTTTACTGCAGAGATCAGAATGAGCTTTGAGAAACAGTCCGGTCTAACCATGTGGGTGGGCCATCTGTCAAGATACCTCACTAACAAGTAGATAGACAAATATCAAAATCTACATTAGAGTAATATCTTTCATTAGGGCAAATGAAAGATTACAGAGTACTCTGCAAATTTCTCCCTCTGCAGAAATTATTCCAGCCTCCCAAGAACTAAACTGGAACCAGAAAACTGAGGCTATGTACAAGAAATTTCTAACAGCCCTTGAATGTTTTGTGCCACGTTAAGTGAAGAAAGCAGGATTTTTAAACCCAGGGAAAACCTGATCGGCTTGCTAGTCCTGGAGGAAGACACTGGGTGATCCGAATGTTGTAAGCCGCCTAGAGTGGTCGAACTTGATCGGCTTGCTAGTCCTGGAGGGAGACACCGGGTGATTCGTCTCTTCTGCCTAGTTCCCTTCTTTTGCTCTTCCCAAGGGATGCAACCTTGTTTGTCACCGCTATGTGTCGCCACTGTCACTGTCTGGGCAGGGCGTTAAAACCACCCGAGAGTCTTGGCTTCTTCTCAGTACATCTTCTTTCCACCTGGACATTCTCTGTTTTTGGAAACTCTTGATTATTTACCAATGTCAACTACAGTGCATCTCGATCATCTCTGCTGCTCTTCCCTACGCCATCTCCATTTCATGAAGGCTGGGAATGGGTCACAGTGTCTGATCCAACTTTCTGTTTACTTTATTAGCAGCAAAGGGAGAGGTTTATATACACACCATTAGAGCAAATAGAGGTGTTCTGTCGGATCCTGTTTCGGGAGCATTTATCCACATACTGTCTTGCTTAGGAGGCACCTTAAAGGAAGCTAGATTTCTTGAAGAAAGGGAAAAAATGTGTTTTATTGGGGAAGAAGTCCCCCTCCCATCACAATATGTTTCAAGCGCTCATTATTATTTATTATCAATCATTTATGAGTCTGGAGCATAAAACACAAGGTGTATGAGCTAACTATCCTTCTCATTCATTGTCATAACTTCCCTATGAAATGAACGCATCATTTTATAAATGGAGCAATAATCCTGGAAGTGAATGAGTTTCTTAAGAGATATTTGTGATTTTTCATTTGTGGTACTGAGCGCTTCCTTGTGAAGGGCTTATCGTGCTTCAATCATGGAATTTTACAGGGTTATTATACAGGATGTCATGTTCCATTGATAATCCTACTACTTCTTTATCTGTCCCCTGTTAAGGAAAGGAAAAGGCAGAGCAGTGCACCATATCTTCTAAACGGCAGCACAAGGAACAGTCTGTCTGTAAGCAAATTGGGGATCTATGGCACAGCGCTCATATCAGTAGACCACTTAGGTGTGTATGGGGATTTTAAAAAAATAACATAAGATTAAGCAGCCAATTTCCTGTCTTAACAAGTGACACAGAGTTGTCCAATGACTGAAGCTTAAAACTCGATTTAATCGTATGCCTTAAGAGACGGAGAGTGTACTGTATTTCATGTGCATACCTGGTTAACATCATCACATTTGTATGTCTCTACACACAGTGATGGCTGTAAGTGCTCTATACAATTATATAGACTGGGAAGACTCTGGTTGTAAGTGCTCTATACAAAACACCTGGTCACACACACACACACACCAAATCCCACACACAGCCGTGATCCTGACTGGATGATCAGACCAGAAGTGGGACAGGAGGAACAGCATGATGTCACCTCATGGACCTTGGGAAAAAGACAAGAGTACAAAAGTAATGACAGATAAGTGCCCGAATCCCTCAGCTCGGGTGGGGGGTTTCGGGCAGCGGCACTCGAGAAATCCTCCTTTCCTAGCCCGAGAGAGAGAGAGCGAGCGGGGACCTGAGGCTCCCGGAGTCCCGATTCCTGGAATGACCGAGCAAGCCACACACCTGGTGCTCTGAGGGGAGCATTACCGGCCCCGCGGATGAGGGGCCGAGACCCGAAGCAAGCAACTCCCGTCACGCTCAGAGTCGCTTTTCCCCCTCACGCAGGGCCAGCCGCGAGTGGGAATGGCGTCGACCTCCTCCTCTTGCGGTCGCGCCTTCTCGCTCGGCAAGATGAGCTCATCCTCTCACCCAGGCTCCCCATCCTCTCTCTCTCTCTCTCTCTCTCACACACACACACACACACACACACGCACACGCACACGCACACACACACAGACACACACCCGCCCTGCCCCCTCCGCCCAGTTCCTGCTGGTAATTCTCCCTGCTGGTGGTAATTCTCCCGCGGGCGGGCGGAGATGCTAGCA